CTTCAACAAAATTAGAAATAAGGGCAAAATAGTTTCTGCTGGGTATTGAGGGGGTGGGGGAGAGAGGGAGGGGGTGGAGTGGGTGGTAAGGGAGGGGGCGGGGGCAGGAGGGAGAAATGACCCAAGCCTTGTATGCACATATGAATAATAAAATTAAAAAAAAAAACTAAGAACAAATAAAATGCTCAGCCCAGTTCTAAGGCCCAAGTGGAGAAGTCCATATACAGCAAGTGCTATGAGAGGTCCCCAAGAGCAAGAGCCCAGGTCTCCTTACTCTCTCAAGCTGGCTTTATTCTCCTCACCTTGTGTAATTGAAGCTGTACCACCTGCCTCAGGTAACCTTGGACAAGTTTGCCAGAATCCACCATTCAAGTCCCTATGACACTAATTTACTAGATTTTTCTGGAAAGCACGAGAAGAAGCCATAACAAAAGGCACCCATGAGCATGTCCACATGCCCAGAGAGAAGACAGATTGGTCTTCATCACTCAGGGCTGCCAGGCTTGGGTGGGAAGCATGCCCGAGATTCAGCCACACCATGAAGCCAGATCCTGATGAAGTTGGTGGGTTTCAATATAACCACAAAAAAGCCCTGGACTGGACAATGAGACCAAATCTCAGTTCCACAGCCTGAGGTTCTAGAGTCCATCCTCATTCCTTGGATCTTAAGGACTTTTGTTTTCATCCGGGGAAACACATAAATGCCTCTTGGGGTGACTAAATACTACTGGTTGTTTTGCAATACAAAAGGGGTTGGTAGCCCTTAAGTGAGGTTTTCTAAGATGGCAAGAAAATAGAAAAATGTTAACATGACTCTACAACAATATGCAGTGTGGCCCTGGTTGCCTGGACTCCTTGTCTTGGCTTGGCACTGAACTGGGAAGGTAATTCCTTCATCCTGGAAGGGACCAGCCAAGAAATTGCTTGGCAAGACCAGCCAAGTATCTGCTTAACCAAAACCCCACTAATAAGACCGTCTTCCTTGAGTGCTGCAGGCACATGGGAGTGGAAGAGTGTTGGGCTGGGGGCTGGAGGAATGGCATGGAAGGCCAAGAACATGGAGTGGAAAAGGAATCCACTTCACAGTTTTGATCTTCATCCAGCTTCTTGGGCGAACGAATAACTGACATGGCAGTCAGACCAAGAGGCAAAAAGCCAGAGCATGAGTTCTAGAGTTTAAGGAAAGCAAGAAATATCATATCAGAGAGTGTGAGTGGAGTGAGTGCCAGCCGCTAACAGGAACAGCTCTTCACCATACCCTGAGAACTCTGTACACATTCATCTCATTAGATCCTTAAAACAGACCTGCAAAAAAGATGTTATCCCAACAGTACTCGCAGTACTTAGGAGTGAGGTACTTGCCCATGATCCCACAGCTACTGTGGGGCAGAATTAGAATTAGTGCTCTGCTGCCTGCTCTATGACACAACCACCCCTGTGTATTTCCAGGCTTCCTCTTACTTAGATAAAATCCAAGTTCTTACTTTTCCTGACGTCTTGATTCCTTTAGCCAGGGATGCATACACAATTACCCAAGCCAGGAAAAGGCAGAAGGCTAGAGGCCACCTGATCTCACCAGGATATTCAATCCCTGCAGAAATCTTCAGCACGAAGTACCTAAGAATCAGAAAGAGGGGAGGGAAAGAAGGGGGAAGGAAAGAAGAAGAAAGGCAGAGGACAGTTTACAGGCTTTAATCTCTCAGTATAACCAGGAGCTTTGAACATACCCCAGCAACCTACCATGGCCTCCCCACTAGGGGCCTAATCAGATCAGGTTAGGAGGAATTAACAGGTCTGAGCTCTCACCCACAGCTGTCTACAGAGCACCAACCAGATCTCCTCTGTTCTTAATTTTGTGCTGGGAGTCCACTTCTGGTCCTCAGCAGGATTTTGTATAAGACAGTCAGCCTCCCCCACCCCATCATGAGGAATCCCCAGAGAAGTGCAATAGAAATTCTAAACTGCCAAGTGTGGTAGCCTGTGTCTGTAACCCTAGTGCTCAGAGGCTGAAGCAAGAAGATTACAAGTTTGAGGCCAGCCTGGGCTACAAAGTGGGACCCTGTGAAGGAAAAAAAAGAAAAAGAAGGAAGGAAGGAAGGAAGGGAAGGAAGACAAGAAAGGAAATGAAAGGAGGGGGAGGGAGGGAGGGAATAAGGAGAGAAGGAAGAAGGGAGGAAGGAAATTAGAAAAGAAGGGAGGGAGGGAGGGAGGGAGGAAGGAAAAGAAAAATTCTGAACTGTCAGGGGTGATTTCTGACTGTTTTCTACATTGTTCCACTCTTACAAGAATTTATTCTAACAGTGTTTGATTTTTAAATTTAAAAAACTGGTACGTAGTAGAAACTGCTTGTGCTAAATGACTCAAAATGCTGCTCTGTGTTTTAGTTCAAGTTGCACTGGATATATTCTGAGACTGAGGGTGGCTAAAATGTCATTTAGCCAGACCTGATTCAAGGATCATATTCAAGACCAATAAGCAGCTGCCAACAGAAGGGACTGCGGGTCACCTGTCACTGCTGATGGTAACCCGTGCCAATGATGAAGAAGTCACCACCCTGCCACATCTCTGGCAGGCAGATGGAGCCTGGCTGGATGGCAGACAGAGCAGTCTCACCCCTGAACACAGGAGGCAGCTTCAGGGACAGTGAGTCCTGATGACAGTGAGTCCTCACACAATCCCTCCAACTCTGTGACAAGCTAGCTATGCATCCTGTATGAAAGTGCTAGATTTGTAAGCTGACATTTTTCTACGATCTACGCAAAGGGTCATCTTGAATCCAGGCTCTGAAGGACTCTAGAACGTTCTGACCTGCCAAGGGAAATGAAAGGAGCAGAGGGCCCCTCCTTGCCTACCCAGTGCTTCATTGAGGCAGCTCTCCAGCACAAAACCATGTTTTTCAGAAGAGGGAGACCAAGCTCTGTGGGGACAGAGCCTCATTTATTCCAAACCTTGGAGCAACCTGGGCTGAAGACTTGAATAAGAACAGGCCAAGAGTGAAACTGAACTTGACTCTGAAGCCAAACCTTGGAAACCCTACTTCCCAAGCAATGGAAAGGACCTTCCCCATGTCCCTTCCCCCAAGTGAGTAAGCCACTTGGTCAATAACTGATCATCTCAACTACTCCTGTTTCAGTAAGGGACATTGAACACATCCCCAGAAGCTACTAATTAATTTCCTCTTAGAAATTAGCACTGGCCCCAGGGATTGTTAAAGGTTTTCATATCATTCTCCAATATACTGAACCACACAGATTGTGTGGCTAGATTTTGCCCAATACCACCAGGCCAGACTCAGTTTCTTGCTGCTCAAGGTGAATTCAAGGCCTACCCACACCACCCCCATGGTACTCATGTTCAAAAAAAGGATTATTTAATCATTCAGCTTTACTTTCCTTCTGCCCTACAGGGTTTAACCATGTACCTCTGAGTTCCCACAGGAGAGAAGACCTGAAATAGTGACTGATGGCTCTTGGAAGAAATACTGAGGTATCAGGGGCTGTTTCTCATTATGTAAGCAAAGGTTATAAGCAGGCACCATTGAGAGATGCGTTTTTTCTTGGGTTTTTTGTTGATTCCAGTGTTTTGTTTGGGTTATTTTGCTAACATTTCAAATTGAAGAGATCACATAGAAATCTAGGTTTTGTTTGCAATTTCGCTTAGAAAATGGAAGTTCTAGCAGCACTGGCCCATATTCCCACAAGGCAGTGACTAACCAGAGCTCAGCATCATTGACTTCCCTTGCAAATAGCCAGCATCCTCTTCAGTTTGCCACAGTCCCCACTGTTCCCGATGGTCTTGACTGGTTTTATTTCACTCATTTATATTCCCTGCCGAACCCCTGACAGCATTGGAGTTTACACCTTCTGACTTAAAACTTAACTGGAAAGCACTATTTATCTTCTGTTCAGCTGTCTACATGTACCTCCCTTAAGAGGCAATTTCACAAACTTTTTACTAAGTCCTTCTATAGCAACTGAAGAGTTTCTAGTAGCACTGAACCTCAGTCTGCAATGAATAGCAATACAGGTGTAAAACTGTAAAAAAAAAAAAAAGTGAAAATAATTTTTGTTTAAACTAAAAGTTTGACCATAATTTGTGTTTTTATTTTTTACTTCTCTTTCCTGCAAGTTAAGTGCAGATGGAAAACAATGACCTGGTTAACTAATGATCTTCTTAGATAGCATTGAACCAAGATTGCAATTTTTTTCTCTTTAATCAACAAGATGAATTACAGCAGCATTAGTTGTCTTCCCACCAGCCATCATTCAGCCAATGCCCATTTCCAGGCCCACAATGTACAATAATCTACTTTTGGAAGCCAAACCAGGAAAAAAAAACCTTTCTCCCTGATCATCAGAGCAGGAGGATACAGAAGGAGGAAACCCACCCTTCCCATCACCCACACTTACGGTCTGCAAAGTTTATAAAACAAACAAACAAAAAACAGGCATCTTACTTGAAGTACTCTTCGCTCCCACTGACAAACGTCTTATTGGCCTGGCTGGTGAAGTTCACCATTGTCAAGTTAGGATAGGCAGTCATGCAGAAAGTCGAATTCTTGATCTGTATTTTGGGATGATCAGTGATAACACAGGAATCTGTTTAGGAGATGATAGAATAGAAACAGTGAAATCTGTACATAGAATACATATGTATTTCTCTCTACTCATTTAAAAACAAAATCCAAAATCATTCACCAAGTTTTATGGAATAACTTTGGGGAAGTATTGCCTGAGCAAGGCCAAGTGTAGACAAACCCCAACGTCATGTTCTGTTCATCATGGGGCCCCAGCACCCATAACAGTGCCTTGTCCTGGCAACAAAGGCTAAATTTATGGAACATTTGCTGCGTTGGGTAAGCACACTGCAAGAATGATCTTATCTGATCCTTACAACAGCCTATACAATCAGCACTACTATGTCCATTTTTTAAATAAGGGAATAGGCTTACAGAAGTTAAGTAATCCTACTGATGTCACACAGCGAAAAAGGAAGAGAAACAGAATTTAAAACCAGATCCTTATGCCACCACAGAAAAAGACAAATGAATTGTAGAAATGAATGCAATCAGAAATAAATAAACCTCCTGAAGGACTACTACTCCAGAAGGCTTATGAACAACTCTATCTTGTACCCCTTCCTGTTACCACAGCTAGCACGGTGAGTACTTTAAAGACATGTGTGCTGTGGGCTTCTTACCCTCACATGGGCCCAGCAGCCACACTGTGTGCTACTTAGCCTGGGACAAGACCTAACATAGTGTTTGCCAATGAATTTAGTCCCCATGGGACACTTGGCTATGACTGGAGACATTTTTCACTTTCATATCTGGGAGACTGAGCACTACTGGCATCTAGTGGGTAAAGAATAGGGGTACTACTAAATAGCTTACAATCCAGAGTCAGCCCCCCACAACAAAGAATTACACAGTCCAAAATGTCAATAGTGCTCAGGTTGAGAAGGCCAGGGATAAGGAGAGAAAATTAACCATGTGAGTACTGGTATATCAGCCACTGTGCTGGACCTTTTAAATAAATATTAGCTCATGAAATGTTCCTAAAACTCAGGAAGCATAAATTACCTTTACTTTAAGTAGGAAGAATCTGAGGTCTTTCTGAGCATATTACAGTGTCTTTCTAAGAGTATTATAAACGCAGATGAATTGACAGATTTCTAATAAAGTCCATCAGAACTAATCCTAGAAGGTATTTCTGTAAAGGAACAAGTAGTAATAACAGCTGGCACCCGTACAGCACTTACCATGACTCCTGCACTGTTTTAAGTGCCTTGTGTGCATTGAGTAATTTAAACCTCACACCACCCCTGTTAGAATGATACTGTGATCATCTGCATTACAGAGAAACAGACCTGGGGCATAGAGAAATGCAGTTGTTTCTCAAAGTCATTCATCAAGCCAGGAGGAACAAGAGCAGGCTATCTTTGGAGTTCATATTCTTAACCCCTCTACTCTGAAATAGAGAGCAAGGATCATGAACTCAAACACCTACAGATCCCAGGGTGATGACACTTGTGAGGAAGGTATAAAAAGAAGGGCAATAGGGAGATGTGGAGACAGAGAGTTCCAGCCAATCAGGACCATGCCTTTCCAGACATTCTGGCAAAACATGCAGACTGTATGAGCATTTACATGAAATCTTCCCTTTTTAAAACGTTGGGAATGAGTTGAAATTGTTTTTAAATACTATGGGAAAAAAGAATATGCAACTGAGCCGGACACCAGTGGCTGGTACCTATAATCTTAGCTACCCAGGAGGCAGAGATCAGGAGGATTACAGTTAGAAGCCAGCTAATACTTTGCGGACTCTATCTTGAAAAAAACCCTTCTCAAAAAAGGGTTGGTAGAGTGGCCCAAGGTTTAAACCCCAGTACCGTCAAAAAAAGAATGCAGCTGAGATCAATTTACACCCTCTGTAGAAAAGCAAAGTGGGCAAGACTGTGGGTCCACTGTCTGGTCCTGAGAGCTCGGAGGAGTTCCTTTATCTCCTCCATCTCTGGCAATAGTTGTATCTAGTTCACAGGATTGTTGTAAGGATCAAATTAAGTGACATTAAGAATTCTAAATTTTCTGATGATGCCTGGCGCATGGTTGACACTCAAATTAGTAGGAAATCATTCATCCTTACACCTCTCCATGGAGTGAAGTTTCTGGGGTATTAGGACATCACCCCTAAGCCCACTGGCCTGCTGTAAATTACCCACTGCTGCCCACACATCCTCCAGAATGTCTTAGAACACGGGGTAAAGATTTGAACAACAATCATGATTCCCTTTGGTTAGTTCTGTACACTAGGATTCTCTTTACTAATGACATCTGGGGACTATGAGAAGCTGTCCTGGTGCATTGCAGGATACTTGGCAGCCTCTGTCCTTTAAATGTCAGGAGTATCCATTCTCCAGTTGCAATAACCAAAAATGTTTCTGGACAGAGCCTGGTGTCCCCTGCAAACCTCTGGTTGAGAACCTCAGCGTTTAGATGTTTCCAAGGACTCCAGACTATCTTCTTTACTTTAACAAAGGCAGAATTTCAGGAGGATCTCCAGCTAACAACTATCAAACGTTTAGCAAGAAAGATTTTGTTTTCCCCAGCAGCAACCTGAATGCAGGCAATTAAAACATCACCCATGTTCCTTTTCAGTAAATAAGCCCGGGAGTTATTTCTCACCCTCCTGCCATCCCCTAAAACTGAAGAGGGCACTAATATGCAGGCAAACATTGCACTGCTATCTTCCAAAATTGCCATTGTGAAGCACTAGGGCAGCTTCCCTATCGAGCATCTCTGCATGTCTTGGATCACTGCCGCCGCTGCAGGAGTACAAGGTCATGGATCCTGCGGCAATGCAGCAGTGTTCAGGGACTCCAGCTCACTCCTTGCAGCCTCAAACCTATTGCAATATCCCTTCCCGCCACTGGGCGGCAGGAGCATGCTTCCCAGAGGACACACAGCCCTTCAGGTAGACCAGCAAAGGAAAGATGGGCCTTTTCATCGGAGAGCTCAGCGGCCCAGCAACCCCAAACAAAGAACAACGATAATGATCGTGCTAAATTGGAAAGCTGTTGGAATGGGATTCTCTTTACTCGGGCAATTATTAATAAATGAAAGACTAGGGAAGAAAGGAATCATTTAATTAAAGTTCTAATGAAAACTAAGCCATTCCAGAAATAGAAATGGTACTTATGTTGTTTCCATTTGACGTGACCCAGCTCACTCCTATTTTCATAAAACAGTTCCTGGTCTCATTTGGCAGAGCACAGATTAGCTGTTCTCCCTAACAGATACCTGGAGGGTTGAGTCACCTCAAAGAAGACAGTCCCTCCCACACAGCCCCTTAGAAAACACATGGCAGACTCTATGTCTACCCATGAGTGGAGCCAGGGCTCTTTTCTGGGGCTGGTGTGGGTCTGGTGCCCTGGCATCTCTGCATGGTGAAGTAGATCATCCTGATAGTATGTCTGTGGCAGCTCTGAGGGAAATGGGACCCACCCACTGTGACTGAAGGTCACAACAGCAGCCATTTATCCTCCCTTTCCTTTGTTCAGTCTTTTTTGCCCAGTTGTCACAAGGGGTGGCTGGTTATGAGGTTAGAGGGAGAAGGTGTGCCTAGGAGGTCATTTGGGAAACACTGATGGGGAAGGAGGTTTTCCATCTTCTAAACAACCCTTCCTCATTATGTCCCTTTGGGAGAAGGCCTAGGAATATGCATTGTCTGAACTCTCAATTGTCCAGCAAAGCAGAGGGGCTATAGAGCTGCCTGTGTTTCTGCAGAACGCAGGCCAATGTCACCTTTTCTAAGTCACCCCAGAATCCACAGGATCAATATTCCTACAAAGGAGAGCCTGGGCCCAGGGATACAAGACACCTGAGTGCAGATAACACAGAGAATGACGGATGGAGGGGCTGCAGAGAGAAACAGTGGAGGTTGACACCTTGTTTTTTTAACAAAAGAAATTAAAGCACTGGCAAAAAATGAGATAGGATCAGCCCAATCTGTCCATAGGCTCTCAAGGAAGAATCACAATGAAAAATGTCCATTGTCTCTGTGCTCAGAGCTTGCATGGTTTTTATGGTTTGGACCAGTGAAGCTTATTTGTGTTAGTGTTTTCTCTCCTTTTCATGTTTCCTGTGAGGCAAACTGCAAATACCATGAAACAAAAGCAGGACAGGGTACCTTCCTCCTGGGCCTTCATCCACAGGACGGGCCCAGTCAACAAGCTCAGCATGCTTTAAAAAACAAAACAAACAAACAAAAAAACATATGCCCATATACAGACTACAAAATAAATGCTTGTCTATGCAAGAACAATGTGGGATAGTCCCAAATCCACCTTTGCTAATATTCTTAGTATAATCTGTCTATGTTCTTTCTTTCTTTCTCTCTCTCCTATAAATCTGTCTTGCTCTTACATTCAATATGGTTTTATTAGGATTCTTCTGTGTTTATGAATATTCATTTTTAATAACTACAGAATACTTTATCATATGGATAAACCATAATTTATTTGAACTATGAATTACTCAGTTACTATGTGAATTTTGTCATACATTTAAATGTGGTTTTACTATTTTCTAATATTGTAAATATGGCTGCAGTTAAGAATCTTATATAACACTGTCTCTAATTTCCCCCTTAAGATAGATTCCCAGAAGTGGAATCACTGAGTTACACTATGCTCACACAAGCTTTCTTTATATTCCATAGCGTTTCAACCACAAATATCAAACTTTGCTGAGACTTATGCTATAGAACCTCCAGACCAAGGATTCTTTGAGAACCCTGGACAAGCAGAGAATCTTGGGTCATGAGATCCAAATTCCACAGCAGTTTCTACCTTGTGACTTAAGCTTGAGCTTAGAGTCTATTTTGTCACCTGCAAAATAGTGATTATGCCATTTGGAACTCACAGGGTTCCTATAAGGAATATCAGAAATATTATTGATGAAGCAGCTGCTCTATAGATTGGATAGCATTTATAAACGCTATTTAGCATAGTGGTTAGAACCATAGCCTTGAAAGGCAGGCAAATGTGTTCAAATCCCAGGTCTACTGCATTGTTTACCCTATGATATTGAAAATAAGGTTTTTCACCTGTAAAATGGAAACAATAAAGGAACTATATGTCAGTTTGTTGTCCATCATTGATGATGCAGTAAAAGGGTTTGACACACATGATATGTAGTGAGTGCTGCTAGTTATTAAGTATTAAGATGTGGCACAAATATTCGTAAATAGTGTTAGAGGAGGAAAATGGTGTTTTTGAACTACTGTCCCCACTGGAAGACAGCTGCGGGATACAAATCAGTATGTCTCGTGGGCACATGTTCAGGACACACCTCATGGATACTAAGTCACAGAACAACTTGATCCAGCAGATACTCTCTTGGAAAGTGGCTTCCCTCTCAGGCACAATCTGGAACGGACAAGCAGGGCTCTGGGATGATCTATGACCATGAGGTAGTTCTCCATTCCATGTCCCAGTCCCTGGAAAATGCAGTTCGCCTAACATGGCAACCATTTTCAGGAAGTTATTCGGGCAGCTGACTGTTGATTGTGACTCTGTGAAGAGCTACTGTTTAGGGCAAAGAGGTTGGACCACTCCATTCCAAAACTGACTAAGAGTGGGCTAATTAAATGATATAGAGAGGCTGGGAATGTAGCTCAGTGGTAGAGCATGTGCTTAGCACAAAGAAAGCAATAAACAAAAGAAGAATGTGGGCAGCCTTCACCCTAGTTGTTCCTACCCTCTTAGTTGCACCTAGAAAACTTTTAAAATGTAGACTCCTAGCCTCCATTCCCAGGTCATCTGATTTGAAGTGGTCTGAGATGGTTAGGTCCAGGTGATTCTGATGTACGGTAGCCAGACTTGAGAATCACTGTTCTCACCTAAGAGACCATCAACAGGGAAATTTTAAAGATGAGCACACCGAGGCCCAGAGAGGCTAAGGAACACTTAAGTCTTGATCACAGGACTAGAGAACCACACACCTGGGAACCTGCACAAATCCCCATTCTCCTACTCCTGAGCACTTCCAGGTGCAGTGTTTGAATTTAATGGGTAAGTGTCTCTGGACTTAGTTTTCCTTCAGTCTTACTCAAAGCTTCTCCAGGTGGAGGCTGGATACGGTGTGTATGTACGTGCACATTGTGTATGATAAACACTGCAACGTGAATTTAGGCACATGTATTTCTCTTGGGGCTGTGGGAAGGAAGAATTCTCATCTTTTGCTCTAAACATACTCAAAGGGTCAAATAATGTCCTACTTTGACAATGTGCAGACTGTAGGGCAAAGAGCTGGTATGGGAGGTCAGCACTAAAAGCCAGTCACACAGAGATCACAGGCAACTGCAATCACAAACCCAACTTATAGGGAATAACAGATCTTCCAGGGAAAGGAGAGACCTCTTGGTTTTAGGTCACCATTAAAATGACCAGAGCTCTCAAATGTGACTGACACTAGCAACTTCTACTTACAAAGTTTTATACATTTGCAACTGCTATCATACCCCTTCTGTCTTTTTTCTGCATACCAGACCCATGAAGTAGTAGGGTACAGAATATTACTATTTCTTCTGTTTCTCAGGTGAGGAAGACTGAGATCCAGAGAGAAGTTGTTTAACCCAGTCACACATACAGTCAGTGGCAAAGATAGCTTCTATACCAGAGAGCCTTTTCCACATATCTGCCCTGCTCCTCTTCAGATTCACTTCTGCTCTCCACCCAAGAAGCTGACAGGTTCCTCCCAGTCCTTAAGTCCCAGTGGATTTCACACTGGACTGTAAAATTTCTTCCAGTTAACACTACCTAACTCTCCAGCAGATGTGTCACCGTCCAGGCCCTTTCAAAGGCTTAGGCCTAAGTGTTTGCTCTCGTGTTTTTACCATGTGCAGTGAGCAGTATTTTGTGAAATGTGGCCCTGGGATCACTTGTACAGCTCTCCTAAATTCTAAGACTTAGAACGTTGCTTTCTGAATCGCACCATGCAACGTGTGAGCAAAAGTCAGCTTCTCCTTCGGGAAGGTTAGGGAGGGGTGTCTAACCACCTCCCAGGTCTGCTAGTGTGACAAACACTGTATGAAACCAAACAAGATCCTATATGGGTTTATAGAACTGCAAATTTCCTGGCCCCACTCAATTTAATAAGACTGACTCCATTCCACATTAGCATCTGAATTTTTAACCAACACTCCAACTATTTTTTGAGCAAACAAGATTTGCCCACCCCTCCTCTGAGTTAGGAGTTTCTTAAATGTTAAACTTAAGGATGTTCGGTTGTTTGAATTCATTTCTGTGCCCCCAGAACCTACTAGAGGGCCTGACATGCACAATAAGTGTTTGATTAATCTTTGTGGAATGAATGACTAGCTCACAACACACATACCTAAAGCATATTCAGACTTACCTAATAAAAGTTTGGTTTTATCTTTGCAGTCTGGTGTGTTCCAAGGGTTGTTGCAGGAGCCCCAGGGCAGCACAGACACAAAGGAGGCAAACAGGTAGAAAAGTGTGTAGCAAATAATCACATTGTAGTATATGGCTATTAGGACAGAGATGATCAGCATTGCGATGCCACAGCCTGCAGAAGAAAAAGTTCCAGGGATTCATTCCCTCCCAAATCCTATGGAATTCTTACAGTTAGGTACAAGGCGAAAACCTAGGTCTTGACTCTTTTGTACAAATGGATATACAATAAGTAGAGCAGACTATGCCTACCAGGGACATTGAGGCATTCTGCCAGGAGTTCAACAATGACAGATACTCTTGAGCCATTCTTCAGAAGGATCAAATAAAGTAAGGAGGGAGGGAGTTCCACTAATCACAAAAGCAAGATCTCCCTCCCTGTGACAGAGAGGGCACAGTAAGGAAGCTGAAAGACAATCTGGTCTCACCTTGTAGAGCTGGAATGGCCTTCCACACAGACACTGGCCCCTGGCTGGCAAACTGGCCCAGTGACACCTCTAGGAAGAAGATAGGCAACCCAGCCAGGGCCAGCATCATCAGGTAAGGGATGAGGAAAGCACCTGAGAAAAAGCGAGTGGGAAGAAAGAGCCAGGTGAGGCAAAGGTAGGCCTCTGGCCCACTTTAACTCTCCAGGCTGGGGGCTAGACTCCCTCTTGAGAAATCAAAGGACAATCTCCTTCCTTTTCTGAAGCTTTTGATATACTATCTTAACAACAGGCACCCACAGGACACTTTAGAGTCCTCCTCCAAAAATTGTGAAGATATGCATGCAAATATACTCCTTATTTCAATTTCACACCAGACAGGATACTGGGGTCATGTACTGGGTAGACTTTTATCTTTATAGCACTTCAATTTCCAAAGCTTAAGTCCTTCCAGGGTTCAACAAATCCATGTCTTTGACTAGAGGCTGATTTGGTGAAATCTCATCAGAACCTAGGACTAAAATCTGCTAAACTGTACTCTGGGACCCCTCATCTCCAATAATCCAAGTTATCACACACATTCTGCCAACTAGGTTTGAGCAGTTGGGATGCCCAACCTTCCCCCACCACTACCACAAACTTCTCAACTTCCTTCTTCACAGGATAAGTTCTTCCCATCTTCAAGTTCAAGGTCAACCCTCCTCTTCTAAGAAGTCTCCCTCTATGTCCTCCCCCAGGCCCTTTTCCCAGGGACTGATTTCCTGATAATATTTATGTGGGCCCCTGAGGCCATTGACCCTTCATTTCTTTATTCCTCAGAAGGCCCAGCTTAGGGCCATGGTTGTGTTAGGTCTTGACTGGCTTGCTGCCCTTCAAGGATTCTGAGGTTGTTTGGAAGAGCTTGGGGAATTGCCCATCTTTGAAAAGGGTTTGGCCAGGATAGGCAACTGCATGGGTCAGGGTGAATTCGGGGAGCCCAGAACAGTGTGCTCAGCAGAAGAAAGCTGGGGCTTCTCTAGATGGAGCTTCACTTGCCCTGCTCCCAACTTCCTGTGGGACTAAAGGACCTCACTGCCAAGGTCTCCCCCAGCAGGGAAGGCCCAGCAGCAGCCATGGGCTACTGGGGAGCAAGCACAGAGATCCTGCTTTACTCTCTCTGGATGAGGTTTTCCAGACAGATGAGGATTGTGAAATCCTTCTGCTCCTTAAAAGGAAGAAAGGAGCTCTGAGGGCTGAGAGGGGCGGGAGGGAGGAGGGGAGCACAGAGGCGCTGTGTTGAAAAAGCTGCCTCCAGAGTCTGGGAGCCGCTGGGCCCTACCACAGCCCCGCACTCTGCACACCACCCTCGGGCAAAGCGCGGGCACTTTCTGGAGCCAAGCTCTCTTTCCTGGAACTTCCACCCCACCCGGTACCCCAGCCTCCCCACATCCATTTCAGTCCCAGGAAGCCTTATTACAACACCTCCCGCCCACTTCCCGCCCTCAAGTCTGAGGACTCTCAGGAAAACCGAATGGAAACCTAGCTGGGGTGTCTAGATTTGTGTGGCCAGCACATATTGTTTCCAGGGTACCCCTGATTTCAAAAGCTCTGCAGTCCTCATAAGTATTTGACATGTCCTAATTTGGAATAAGGCGTCATCTATTTTTCCGTTTTAATCGTCCCCTGGTGCAGCACCTGTCCGGCCCCACAAACCAAATTAGTCCTGGAGAGGACCCAGAAAGGAAAAACAAAAAAACAAAAACTGTGGGTGAGGGGATGAGTTTTTGGTCCAGTAAAGATGCGGAAGGGAGCTTTGGATGCGAACACCGATTCCTATAAGGCGACTTGTCAACTACTTAGGAACCAGTGGCCGGCACCGCTGCACCTCAACCTTGGACGGGCAAGCCAATTGGTCCCTAACTGTGTGGGGTCCCTCTGGATGCATACAAAGGAGGTACAGTGGATTTATGGCTGGTGCATGTTTACACATTTTCGAAACACTTTTCTTCTTTCACCCAGTTAGGACAAAAGAAAGGAAAATCGGTTTTGCTAAACTAAAAAATGTCTCTGGTTCTTCCCAAGAAGGGATGTGTTGGGATGGGGTGCTTCTGGAAACCTCCAGAGTGCATAAAATCCCCAGTTCTTTCCTGCCGCTCCTAGCTAGCCTGCAATTCTGCATTCCACGCGTGCCCATTCTCAAAGTCTCCTACGGAAGCTCGGATTTCCAAATTATAACATTAGAACGTCCTTAATTCTGCCTCCAGGACCACATCGCCTCTGGTTCTAAAGTGGATTAGGTGCGGACAGTGCCCCGCTTCCGCTTCCTGAATACGTGATGTTTAGAATCTGAACTTCCCTGCGTCAGTGTGGACTTGGCTCAGGAACCAGTCCCCCAGACTGGGCCAGTGGAGGATCTAGGGGCCCTTGCCTTTCCTGGTTACTCCTGGTCCTCCTGCCAACCGCTTTCAATGGCTCCTGCCCTCCAGTTTTGCATTCAAGCCCTCAGGGGATGGGGCTATCCGGCCAGGAGGCACCCTGATCTTCCCCTCCCGGCCCTTGTCTGAGGCCCCCCAACCCTCAAGTGCCCGCCCCGCGGAAAGATCTGAAAAGCCATACCTCCCCCGTTCTGGAAGGCCAGGTAGGGAAACCTCCAGACATTGCCCAGCCCCACTGCATACCCCACCATGGACAGGATGAAGTCCAGTTTGCTGGACCAGTTCCCTCGGGCCTTATTCTCATCCCCTTGCTCGTCCTCCTGGGGGCGGAAAAGCACATTGTCGATAACAGACCGGGGTAGGTCCACAGGCAGGCCCCATTCCGCCCCTCCCCCCAACTGAGGGTATTTCCCAGCAAGCAGGCTCCCACCTTTCAACAGAGGATGCATCAGCAAGCAGGACCCCAATTCTAAAGAAAGGATGCACCTAGGAGCAGGGCACTCACCCCTCAACCTTGCACTGACTCTTTCAGCAAGCAGCCCCCAAATTTTACCTAAAGATCCTTCTTAAACAGACCCCTGTGTCCTTTCCCAAATCCTATATTCAGGGCACACCAGCAAGCAGCTCTCCCCAAACCTTGAACCTGTGAATTTATTGCAAGCATGTCCCTGCAGACCCAAACCCTCACCAAGAATCCATTTGGCAAGCAGGCCCCCATCATCATGCCTAGAGTTCCCAGCAAGCAGGTTCATAAACAACTCCTCTCCCCTCACACACACACCCAAAAAAACCCTTACTGCATCCCTTTCTCAGCACTGCCTTTGAAGTGTGTGCCAAGACCAGAAAAAGAGCTGCAATGCTCAAAGCCAGCCAGAGCCCCTGCCTCACTTTTTCTCCCAAAGCCTACAGGCAGAACCTGCCTGGTCATCTAGCTTAAGGGAAGCAGCCTTCAACCCTAGTGCAAGGGAGATGAGCAAGATGGAGGTGAAACAAGAGAGGAAAGAGAGAAGGTAGATATGGTAACAGTCAGGCAATCTGGAACCTTACTACTATCTTATACTAGATAGATAACCTTTTGCCCTCTCTTAGCCTCTGCATTCGCATCTGTTAAATGAGGGGCTTAGATAGCTGTCCCCTGAGGCATGCCAGCTCCAGCAGTTTATGAATCTTCGGGGCTTACTTCTCCAAGCTCACACTAAGATACTTTCTGGGGGCATTACTTGGTTCTGGAATGCCTCAGTACTAAGCAGAAAAAGCTGGGGTGGGGGCACCTCAGATGAACTCTGAAAGTGTTTTGGACACTGAGCTGTGCACAAAGCTTCCAGGTCAGTCCACTGCACAGTTCTTCCCTATCCCTCCACCTCCTATTGTGACAACTTAGCATGCCCACACGGATTCATAGGCCTTGGAGAATAAAGAACCAGCTGTCAGGATGAGAGGAGGTCTTGGGGAGGGAGAAGCGGGGCTGAGGTGGGTGTCAGAAAGGCAAAATCAGAAAGATGGACAGGGTTGAAAAATAAGTGCTCCCAAGAATCTGCACATCCCTAACATCTTCCCTATACTCCTACCCCACACAAACTATCTCTGCCCCTAACCTCATCCTCCAATTTTTCCCAGACTGAAAGGGTGGGAGTTCCAGCTCCTTTTGCCGCAGTGCGGTAGTAAGCAAAGCATGTGAAACATTTTCCAGTCCACCTGGAGTCATGCTATGCTACCAAAGGCACCTAATGCGCATAGACCAGTGCTCTAGAAATAGGTCTCAACTGCAAGGGAATGAGTGTTTATTTGTAGTTGTTCTAATAGTTGAGCTCCTGCTATAGAGGCCTGTGGGTAATGAGAGTGTATTTGTGTGTGCACAAATGCTAGAGCGCAAGTGAGTAAGGACAGAGGGGTGTATAAATCCTGTACCTCAAACAGGCAAATATTCTGGTTCACTCCTCACCCCATTACACACACGCACTGGACACATGCCTAGTCCCTGACCCCAAGGGAGGAGAGGAGATAGAAGAGGAGAAATAAAGGCTACGGGAAGGAAACAGCTTAAGTGAATGAAACAGAACAGAAGCAAGAAGAACTCAGAGAAGGAAGGAGGAAAGCTGGAGGGAAATGGAAAACACCAAAAGCCTACAGGGAGAGGAGTTGCCTTTATTCATAACCCAGGGACTGGGGTTTGCTGTGTGGGTTTTTCATGCCTCTGGTTCAATGGTAAATGCAGGATGTGTCCAAATGGGTGGGGCCTGAAGCTTATACAACTGAGGGGGTCCATTTTAGGAAAGAAAATCATGACAAAATTAAATACCAGGGTTTGAAAGAGCCCTGTAAGAGATCCCAAAACAAACTTCAGTTTAGCCTCACGTAAACCTGCCTTTCATCGAGTTCACAGGTTATAAACGTTAGCACGCCGAACATAAATAGGCTGCAGAACATAAATTATTATTCACCCTGCGCACACACGAGGTTTTCCTCTGTGCTTCTTTTATATGACAGTTTTTATCTTATTATTTTTTCTTTTTTCAGAAACTAAAAGACCCAGCCATTGATAGGTGGGGGAGTCGTGTCTGCTTAAAGGGTTAAAATCTGTCTGCTTCAATGGATCTTCAGCTACTACAGAGGCTGGGAAGGGGCTGGTAGCGGCCCCTCTGGCAGGGTCACTGCAGCCCTCACACCCTGAACTGATGACCCCAGAGCAGTGCGAGTTTCCGAAGCCCCAAAGCTGCCTCCAGCATCCACCACTGCCAACCCGTCTCCACATCAGCACACGTGCACCCGCCACGGCCCGGTTCGCCTCGCGCGCTTCTGGAGAGCAGGAGGTGGTGCGGGCCGCGCGTGACCTGCTTACCTGTGTGGCAGAGGTGGCCACGCTGCCCGGGAGCACCGACGCGATTCCATCGGTGCCCAGCACCACGGTGCTCTGGCTCATGTTCACCCAGCCCACTGCCGGGGTATTGTTGTGCTCCAGCGTGCCCTTGCCCACACTCACGCTTGCATCTTCCTCTGGGCCGTGCAGAGCTGAGATCTTACAGTGCAGCCCGTTGCCGGTTCCCGCGCCGGTAGAAGGGGGGTTGGCCTGCGCGCTGTGCCCTTCGCTTAAGTTCTGGAGGGCCGCTGAGGCCGCCTGCGCCCGGGGGCTACTGAGTTTGCAAAACCCTACTCCCGGCCGCTCGGCCTCGCAGGCTCGCGCATCCGCGGATTGGAAAGTTTGGGCGCCGGTGGAAGCGGACCTGGGCACACGTGGCGGCGGGGCGGCTGCGGCGGCCGCAAGCTCCAGCTCCGGGCTGGTCCTGGGCGCGCTCGGATTATCTCGGTGGCCCGGCGCCGCCGCCTCCAGGCTGTTGACTGGTTGTTTATTCATTTCCTTGGGAGCACTGCAATCCTGCAAACACAAAGTCAAGTTCGTGCAAAAAAAGAAGAAAAAGTCACGGCAGCTTTAAAAAAATACCTGCATCTATATATGGAGACATTTACAGCTAAGATTCAGACACAATATCTATGGATGCAAATGGAATCTGATTTTTTAATTATTATTTTACCACTGCAATCAGTAGTTCTCAATTTGCCGGCCTGGTCAATAACCAGATGACATGAAGAAGCTAATATTTCCTCCTTGCTGGAGAATGAGCTAAGAAAAAAGGCAGAAATGTTTTTGGAGGGAGCGGGGAAAGAAGGGTGGAAATAGCCCTACAGCCATGAGCTCCCTCCCCTTTCTGGGCTTCAAATCACAGCTGTGGGGTGCCCACGTCCCCATCACCATTGTAGAAAGATTCTTTAATTTTCCGCCCCATTTCCTTTGTCATTCAACAATGCACATTGCCTTTTTTTTTTTTTTTCTTCTTTCCTTGCCATAGACAAGCTGTGGCCACAAAGCTGATGCCTTGGCACCAGAGAGTGCTTGAGGCCACAACGGTTGTGAGAATCCCAGCGCTCCAAACCCACCTCTACCCACCAGGTCCCAAAGGCCGGGATCAAGATCACGATCAAAATACCGACAACGACAAACCCACCAACACCACACCAGCAATAAATCAGACTTAAAACACAAAGTAGTAACTGGGTTTGTTCTCACCCATCCTATATTCACTTCCAGATTCCCAGAAATGTAAAAGGAATGTATAAAGTATTCTAATACTTTAGGAATACTAATACCCTTCTTGACTGGAGACCAAAACTCAGGAATTATTTTCATTTTCTTTCTCCCAATTGAAAAGAATTGCCAGCATTGAGTTTTCCATCTACTTTCTCAGTTTGTGTTACCTTTCAACACTTTCTACACATTAGCACTAATAATTATTATACTGCAAGAATAATCACATCACTTTCTCCTCAACCGCTCGCCTCTCATTTAATCCTCTTCCACAAATGCATAGATCAGAGCTCCTTAATTTGAACCAAATCTAAATACCTGGACTCCAGGCAGCATCCTCAATAGCGACTTGCCTGTGCACCAGCATCTGCTTTTTCAGCACCAAGGACAGTGCCCACAGTACTGTTCGGGAACCACAGACCCCACAGCTCTGCAGCCTAGGAAACCTCTTTCTGACCTCAGGTGATGCTCACAAGCACAAATACCATACCTATAGCTTCGGAAGTTATCCTCCCAGAGCCCTCTCACCCAAAACACAGACATTTCAAAAAGAAATATCCAAAACGAAGTCGCCCTCCCCATTCCATAAGCCCCCTTTCCTCTTAAAAGAACAAAAGCAAACACTCACCATGTCTGACACAGGCAACAGATTGAAGCGGTAGAGTGAAATCCGCTATTGACAAGACTGGATTTGGCTCAGGTAGGAGAGGCGCTTTCTATATCTCCTTGGGAAAGGCCGGGTTTGCGTCAGTGCAAAGCAAGGTGCCCTTTGGTTGACATCTTCTTGATAATACAAGTTTGATAAATCATTACCCCCTTGGATTCGAATTTTAAAGGGACAACAGCCTAGAGCACGCAGGTCAGTTATCACTCAGGCAGGAGGGGCTGCGTGTTTGGCGTGACTCATGTAGGTCTGATTACTAAACCAAAGCCGGTGGGAGGGATGACAAAAGTTTGCCTCCTCCTAATTAAGGGAAACATGAGAAGGACACGTCCCACTGCACCCAAGGCCAGGCGCAGAAGCCAGCAGAGTGGATTGGGCTGTGGAAGTGGGAGTAGGGGAGGAGGTTAAGTCACTATAGCGTCTGTCTCTCCCTTCCACTAAATTCCGATGCAGTCTCAAACTGTTACCCGGAAAGCCACGGCGGTCTGTCTGCATGTAGTCCCACAGCTTTGCAAGGGCTGGTGCAGGCACAGGTCCTGCACTGATAAGGATGTACCTACTTTGCCTGTGTGTAGACTTCAGATTCCCACATCCTTACCTTACCCTTCCAGACAACCAGTTTTAAGAAGGATCCTGGATTTTCGTTTAGAAAATGAGATCCAATATTTGCATTTCTATTTAATCTCTGTTAGCACTGTCAAGAGAAAATTCTGTGTTTAATGGGTTGTTCTCATATTTTTAGGCTTTTCTGAAAATATTCTTGAGAAATCAGAGACAAATTATCTTTAATGCGGTAAATAATATTTTCAATGGCTGGCTCTCAGACCACATTCAAAGTAAAAGGAATCCCATTGTTTCTTCCTAGTCTTTTTTATCAAAACCTACCAGAGCCAGGACTGATTTGTAAACATGGGATCTTACCCCAAATCAGAATATCCAGCCAAAAGGAGGTTCAACCATAGTGCAGTGAATTGAAGGTGACTGTGTCAATTAAAAGGTGGACTATAGACTTTCCTGTTGGTAAAAGAATAGCTATAATCATTTTTAAAAGGGGAAAATGCTTTTACAAAGATGTACTTGGGAGAATAGAAGGGAATTGACAACAAAATGCTTCCCCTCTCTCCTTCCATGCCGGTCTAGCTCCGAAAACCCCGGGCCTCGGGGATGAGAAGCTAAGGAAAGCACTTTGTCCCTTCCCTGCTGCCCGCAGCCCGGCCCACTGCCTCGGGGTCCGAGCCGTCGCACTCCACTGGGCAGTCTCCACGCGGCGGGAGGACAATGCCTGGCGGCCGCCGGCACAAGCTGCGGCGGCAGATTGCAGCGGGCGCCGGGGGCACTGCAGAGGCCTCCCGTCCCCTCCCTCTCTTTCTCCCCGCCTCCCACCCGAGGCCCAAGAGTGCTGAGTGCCTCGGCGCCGCGCTGGTTCTTCCGTCTGGCTCCTCAGAGGGCAGCCATTTGGGAACCCTTGGTCTGCACTATTTTGGGGATGGGGTGGGGTGGGGATAGGTTTCCCGAGGAGAGCTTTTGGGTTTCTGGACGCTTTTTAGTGTAGTTTTGAGCTAACATTTATTGATATTAAACCATTGTACAAGGACTTCCCATGAAATTATAGAAATTATAGCACTTAACCTTGGCAACAGCCTTTGAGAAACTATTCCCGTTTTAAAGCTGGAAAAACTGAGGTGTCAGAAAGTCTCTTTCAAACCTTGGAAAACTCCTAACCACCTTTCAGGGGCCTGTCGCTGGAGCTAGTCACCCTCTCTCTGGGCTGGCTCAGCGGGAAACCCGGGGATGTGGGGGAGGAAGGATAAGGTGATAAGGCTATGGGGAACACTGGCGGGAGAAGGTTCAGGTAGCTGGTAAGGATGAAAATCCCGCAGAGGCAAACGATCTGGAAGGCGCTAAAGAAACACCCCAGAATCTTGGCGCCAGGGGCTTTTCTCCGAAAAGGACCCCAATTTCCAAAAAGGAGCAAGTTCAGGAATTGTGAACTGTAGAGGACAGGCGGGGCAGGCCAGAGCTTCTGCAAGCAGTTAACCCGGAATGGAACCACTAGGCACGCCCCTAGTTCGGTGTGGGACTCCCTGTGAGATCCCTGGGCCAACTTCTATCTAATGGAATGGTCACGACTTTGAAAAGTTCTAGACTGTCTCCAAATTTGTATTTGAGCACTCCCCGCAAAAGGCCGAATATGAATGCAGCGTCCACCTCGCGCGGGGCAATCCGGGGCGCACTAACGCGCCTGGCCACGGCAGGGGGAGGAGAACCGCGCAGAGGTGGCGGAGTCCAGACGGCCTTCTTGCCTCCCCCAGCTGCGGCCCTGGACGTGAGTGAAGCCTGGCGTCCCCGCTCAGTCTCCTGGCCTGACGTGTCGCCTGCTGGCCTTCCCCAGCCAAGTGCGCACTTGGGTTCCCGCATGGGGCCCGGCGTGCGTCAAGCCCTGCACTGGCGGGTGACGTGCAGAAAAGGCTGCGGGGGTGTTGATGGAGGCACTGCTACGTTCTCCACATCCCCCCACTTTCAGCCGCAAGATTTTAGAAAGGAGGGGGCCTCCTGATAGTGGAGGGAGAGTACAGAGCCAAGAAGCCTAGAAGGATCGCTCTGAGGCCAACAGGAGTGGAGCGACCCCCTCCCCCGCCCCCATCCAGGCAAGAAGGTTCGGGTGTTAGGGCGGAAAAGAGCGCATAGGGAGGCAGGGGACCATGGCCTAGGGCGTTTATCCTACGTCCAGTAGTGTGTCAGCACCAGCGAAGCGCAAAGGATGGAGCCGCTGTATTAAAAAAAAAAAATGAGAGTGGAAGAAGTGAAGGGAGAAGAATAAAAGGCTCCCATTCTCTCCACACCGGCCTCTGCCCCCGCCCTTTTCGGCGCCTGCTAGGAGTGATAATCCGACCCCACACTGCAGCCAAGGAGGCAGTAAATCCGCATCCATCACTGCGCAGCCATTCGGTCGGAATTAGTCAGTCACCACGGTCTTAATTACTTTGTCAAAGATGAAAAATAGTAATTGATTTTGTCCTCGATCACTTTGTCCCCCTCCCCTTCCTTGCAGATAAGCAAATAAATAGCTATTTGTAAAAACCGTGTCCACCCGGCTGTATGGGGTAGCCTACTGGAGAGAGAGGGGGAAAAAAAAAAAAGGCCATCTAGTAACAGTCCTGACGCCAGTGTTTGTGGCTGCGGGAACCCAGGCAGGAGAAGGCCTGGAGGGTGGCCTTGATCATTCAAGCCGCTGCCCTCCTTTGCCCTGGAGAAGCAGCGACTGGGAAAGGAAGGGGTATCTTACAGGAAGCAACTGCTTTGCTGTTAACAACGAGATGATTGTGGCACCAGCCTTCTCTGGTGTAAGGAAGAGCTACCACTGCAGTCACGGAAAAGCAAGGACGCTTGCCCAGTGTAAGCAGTCAGAGATAGAATTTGAGTCCAGGTCTGTGTTGACTCCAGTCCACCCCATCTCATGGGAAACGTGGTGTGTTTAAGTCTGTGTTTAGGAGATCTTGATCTGAGAGCACAAACACCTAAAACTTCTATAGGTGATGGATGTAAGGGCTGCTCAGTGTGAGTTTCAGGTGACATTGCTGATAGTTGAGAAGCCATGTAGTATTTTTATTCCACTTGTCTGCTACTGCCCAGTTCCATTGCAGTATTGTTCTGTGCTAAGAATTTGGATTCTGCAGACAGACTGCACCACCTCCTGGTTCTGTGACCTTGAAGGAAATTGCGGATCTGTTAAATGAGGATAAGAGTTAACTTACCTCAAAGGGGTCTTGAGGAGTAAATGAAGCCCCACAGATTTAGCAAATAAAGCAATTCTGTCTTCCTGGCTTAGAAGGTATAATATGGATAGACACACAGAGAACAGAAAACCTTACAAGGAAGATAGTCACTATGCACCATTTTCTCCTCACTCATTGGCTTGGTCACCCAATAATCAAATACCTTTACTGAAAGAAACTAGGAGCATCCTGGAAAAGGATACAAATACAAAAGCTGCTGCGTGTCCAGGGGCATCTCATTTCTGTCAAGGTAAATTTCAACAGCAGTGGCAGAGGTATGGAGCTTTGTAATCACCCTCACTGCCCAGTTATCATCTAGATCCAGAGTGTCAGGGAGACACAAACAAACCAAGGCAAACTTCCTTCACCAGAGCATCTCAGATTTCCATATTTGGAAATCAGTAGTTCAGCCAAGTAATTCATCTGTGTGCAAAATG